CTCACTCTCTGATTCACTGTTCTCCAGACTCCTGCATACAACTCTGCTGTTTTGTTTTTGTTCCCTAAATTGCATACATTCACTAGGTGTTTCCTTTCTATATGTTGTGGCTGCCATCAGCACAAAGCCGAGGTACCTGTGGGGACGATGGAAGAACCCCACAGAGGGAGAGTCTGTCCTCAACACCTCTCTGGCGTCCCATGAGCCCTGTGAGCACATTTCTGGGGATGTGGTGTGTTGCCATGGAGATGACACTTGCCATCCCCGTTTATAATGACTTGAAACAATTCACTCTGCAATTAAAACAAGATCTATCCTGTGATAACCCTGAGGAAACAGTTACTTACTAAATGCAGGCAGGGGGGCGGGAAGTGGATTTCATTGTTGGCTTAGCTGGGGTGGCTCCAGCTTGGCCTGTGCTGCCCCATCCTGCTTTGGTTTGTTCACAGTGCCCTATTCTGCCTCTGCTTCCTGTCTCAAAATCCAGAACAAGCTTATGTAAAGTTTAGGCTGCATTTTGCCGCGCTCCTGTCATCCAATGCAGTTGTCTGGAGGATATTTATTAATAGTTTACCATCAATCCAGTTTTTGGTAATATGCTTCGCAACCATCTACAACCTGACTTAATACCCATATTTCATTATCCACCACCACTTTTCCTTCCCCACCTATAAACCTTTGCTACAAGTTCAAGTGGGAAGACAGCAGATGTCCTAGCAGATGTCCCAGATTTGGGCTGCTTTCCTTGCTTGCTGGCAGAGACCAACACTCAGGAGGGTCATCTGGCAACTCACAACAACATTACTGAGCCAGACTTTCCATGTTCAACTGATGCTGCTCAGGCATCATCCCTGCAGTCCCAGGCAGTGCTGGCTGGAAACACACCACAACCTCAGCCATGGTTCTATTGCTCTGTGGCTGGGAGCAAAATGATAAGCTGCTGGATTTGGAGGGGCTCACGCAGCACAAGCAGTATCTGAGTACCTTGCACTTGTGCGCCAAACAACAGGACAGTTGTCTGTCATGCAGGCTTAGTTCTCATCCCCTCCCCAATGGGAGAAGCAAGTGCAACAAAATCTTGCTTTTACTGTTCTTTCTCCCATTTCAAACAATGTAGAGTGTTTGCTGTGCCTCTGTGCAGAGGGAGGCAGTGCAAAGCAGGGTGCTCTGCTCTCTTGTGGGGAGTGGGGATGTTTGGGGGGTTTTTGAACTGGGAGGAGCTTGTTTTATAGTGCAGGCAAAAGGCAGAGTGGGCAGCTGGGCATGGCTGTGCGTTGGAGGGGTGCAGCCCTTCCCACACACTTCCTCTGTTGAGGTCCTTGCAAATAATAACAATTATAGTACAAAAGTAAATGAATAATCCAATTATTTGGCTTTCAGACTTTCATGATAGCTGAGGTGATGTGTAGCAAGGTGGTGCCACTGCCTTTTGTGGTGTGGGGAAGGACCTTCAAGCACCTCCACCATGACTGTGTGCTGGGCAGGTTTGAGGCTGTCTATCCTTCCCTCTGTGCTTGGCCATGGCTGGTTGGAGCTCCTGACCCTGCCATTTCCCCATTTTCTTATTTCAGCTCTCACCTGCCTCTGTGCAGCTGCTTGGGCCATGTGTTCAGTTCTTTGCTGAATTCTGTCTTAAAACATAAAATGCTGTCCTTTATTTACTGTGTGCCATGGGGAGTTGGTCCTTTTTCTCCTGGCTGGACTTGGGGAAGGTGGCTGTCAGAGGAGCTGGCACTGCTGGAATGGAGACTGCTTCTCTTTCGGAATGAGCATCTGGATTCAGATGCATGCAAAGCCCAGCTCCTTGACATGGCCACAAATTCCAGTTACCCTTGATGGAGGCAAAGGGAGGGCTTCCTCAAGAAAGGTGGTTGGGCGCAGTGGGCCAAGTTAACAGAGTAAGAGGGGTGTGTAACAAGCAGAAGCTCTCTGCTCATGTGTCCACCCAGCCAGGCTGCACGAGAGTTAGGGTTGATGGCCATGCCAGGGAATTGGAGCTGGAACACAGGCTTCGGACTGTGCAGTGAGTCAGAAGAAGAAGGCCTGTTGCAAAATGCTCCTTCTGCTTACTAGAAACCAGGATGATTTCAGAGACTGAACTATCCTTGTCAGCAAAATGTGCTAATTCAGCCTTTCCTACCACTTCTATCAAGATTTTGGCCTTAAAAATGCTGTTCACAGCAGTCTGTCTTCCTGCAGGCACCCAGGGAGAGCAGGAGCTGAGGGGCAGAACAAGGCTGAGAAGACAGTGTTTGGGCACAGAGGGTGGCAGGGATGCTGTGCAGGAACAGGACAGGGGCCTTCAGGCACAGTCAGGGGAGATCTGGGGAAGCAGGCAGGTGGTCAAATAGCAAAGGAAAGTGAAGGGGGAGTTTAGAAAGAGGAGGAGCCTAGTAGGCTGCAGTGATTCCAGGGGTGAGAGAGCACTGACAGCAAAGCTTTTCTCCTACAGGGATGCACATGGAAAACCCTGACTCTGTTTGTCCTTGTGTTTTAGGGTCTCTGTGTGTGCTCTGATGGGGCTGATGCTCTTTCCCAGGTGCCCTTTGGGCTAGCTTAGGGCAAAGCTTTGTGCATCATGAGCCCTATCTATGGGGGGGGGGGGCTGCAGGTGGGCAGAAGGCAGCCCAGGGAGGGTAAAGTGCGGGTAGCACTCCCATGGGCAGGTCATAGAGGCTGAATGTGCTGCCACGCCACCACCAGAGCTGCTAACAGTGCCCTCTGGGCTGCTGGGGGGTGAATAATCACAAAAATGGGGATTTCAGAGAAGAAGATAATGCATGGAAGATGAACAGAGAAGACTAGCTGAACTATTCCAGATCTGTTTCAGTGCAGCACTGTGACTTCAGGATCCTTTCATACCATGGATTAGAGATGTTTTTTCCTTTATGGTTTTCCCTGATTCCCAACCTTCACACTTGGCACCAAGAAGCAGAAGAGTCTGGGATGACCCAGGCACTATTTGCATTAATTGGTGTAAATGAGAAGTCATTCTGAATGTACAGAGTCTGTGCTGCTCTAGAAGAGCAATATTTGGCCTATACTGGGTAAGATCATGAGACGTTTTAAGTGATGATTGTTTTAACATCTCACAAAAATATAATCCAGTGTTTGCCCGAGCATTGCCTTCATGCTGAACATGATATTTTCCAGTGTATGAGAATAATAAATCTTCTTAAATGCAGGAGCAGTTATGTGGAAGATAGAAAAGGAGGCTTTACAGGCAGAGCTCTCAGAAACATCACCCATGTCTCTTGTGAAAATGTGCCTTGCTGAGCCTTTAAAGATCTTCAGGTGTAGCTAAAAATGAAAGGTATTTTTAATGGCAGGCCTTCCTTAGGGTGTTTATGATTTCAAATGCAGGTCACTATTGAAAGCACTGTCCTAATTTCTGGCCTGAGATTTTATTCTTTAGGAAAAGTTAAAAAGAAATCTTGTTGCTGCTAGGACTCACTGAGGACATTTTCCTGTGTTCTGCTGTGGTTTTTGCCTGTTTAATTTCTTGGATTTTCTACATTTGCTTTTCAAACAAAAAAGTTCACAGAGAATAAGAAATTGAGCAAAGATGAATGGCAAGTAAATAAGCTTGTTCAAACACATATTTAAACTTTGTAAGTGTTACTTTTTACCGGCAATCATTGCAATCCCAAAATAAATTTAAATACCCTGCCTGTTAGTCAGAGGCAAAATGTCTGTGTAACAAGTTGTGTCAAATTGGAGTCACAGCTTTAATAAAGTCACAGCTTTAATTCCTTACTAATTAACCATGTTTCCTATGCAAAATATAGTTTTATACATGCAAAACAGTGCCAGTTCAAGCCTGCCATTGGGGTGGTCAGGGCTTCCTTCAGATTGCCCAGTTGTGAGCAGTTCCCAGTGTTGATCTGTTAATTCAAGAACAATAGCCTTATGGGGATAGAAAACTGCTCTCTACCATTCTGCTGCCACTTCTTGATTTTTTATGGCAAATACAGACAGGGCCTTCTTGGTTTGGTTTCTGTGGTAAAACCTTTTGTCCAGAAGGAGCACCCTGCCAGGAAGAGGGTGCCCCAAGGAGAGGGACCAGAGCTTTGGCTGCGTGTTGCTGTAGCCTTGGGATTGGATGGCACTTCAGTGCAGTTTGGAAGGTGATGCAGGGTCCTTTCCCTTGGTCAGGTCTATGCTGAGCCATGAAGAGACCATGTCTGTCTTTGGTAGGGTCTGTGGTTGAAGCAAGGTGACAGAGCAGCTGCCCCTGCAGGGATAGCAGCTCTTCCTGCTGGCAGAGTCACTATGCCAATGTGTGGATATAATTACAGTGAAGCTTTGGCTCTGAACACCTCTAAAACTTTATCCCTGTGTTTGGCCTCTGTGGGTAACCATTCGCTGAGATTAATGGCCAGGGTGTGCTTGAGATAGGTTTGGTCACAAAATTCAGCTGGCACACACAATGTCATGCCATGTGCGTTTGCAGTTCTTACCGCTCCCTAAACCTCCATCCCAGCATTTCTGTGTGGGTGGCACCTTATTTCAGTTGAACCCAATTCTGAGCCTTTGAATCCTGTAAGGGATGCTAATGTCTGGATTTAGCCATGTTTACCTTTCAAATCACAGAAAAATTCTTCCTGGGTACCACAAAATATGACACAGTCTAGGGGCTTTATGCTCAGTAAAAGAGAGAATACAAAGATTAATTCAGGAGAATTATTTGATTTTAAAATCCTCCTTTGATGTGAAGCCAATCGCCCTGAAGCCAGTGAGAGAGCTCTTCCATTTGGCTTCAGTGAGTCTTTGAGGTTGGTGTCTGTGCTGACTCTGGATGGAATGTGTGAGCTTATCTGTTTCTGTTTGTTCTGCATAGAGCCTGTGGTCAGATGGGCAGCAAGAGCAGGTCAAGTTCTCTTCTGGGCAGCAGCAGTGGCTTTTTCCCCTCTCTATATGGCTTTGTTTTCCTTCTGCAAGGGGCAATGTTTGTGTGGTAGGAAATCCCATGCCATGATTGCTTCTGTGTTTTGTTTCAGGCATCAGAGGGTGTCCCTGTGAAATACTTTCAGAACTTGGAGGAACTGATAGAGTATTACAAGAAGGAGAACATGGGTCTGGTATGGCACCTCAAATATCCAGTGCCGCGGGAAGAGGAGGAGGCTGCTGATGAACTGGAGGAGGACACTGGTAAGAAAGGCATGATGTGACTTGGTGATGCAGACCCTTGACTCATACCTCTTGACTGGAGATATGCAGTGCAGGCAGGAGATTAGAAAACACATGCTGTGCCATAAAATAGAGCAGAGCATAGAGAGGCCTGAGCTGGCAAGGCCCTGTGGCAGTGAACCCTCATGTCTCCTGTGGTAAGGCACCTGGAGCATCAGTTTAGCTCACCTGAGGGAATATGCTGAGAGCCTCTGTGGAAGTATACTGCATCTAGTGTGGGGGTGGTTAATCTGGAGTCCTTATCTGTACTCCAATTGTTTATCTCCCAAACCTCTGCACCTTCTCCTTGTCCTGCATCTGTAGGGCTTCTCTCAAAACACAGATGCTCCCTTGGGGCTTGAAGCATATTTCTCTGCTGTGCCATGCACCTGCAGCTGCTGAAGGGGCATCTGAGACCCCTCAGCTGCTCTGCTCTAGGGGACATTTTTGACAGTCCAAAGCAGAGGGCACGACTCTGGCAGTGGCAGACAGTCTAACTCCATGTACAGAGGTAGGTGTATAATGAAGAGGTGTGATTGGCATCATCCCAATTATTTTATATCAAATGCCACTGTGGGTTCTTGACATTCTGAGACACTGGTCTCTGATAATTCTTTGGATTTTTCCTGGATCACCCCTTGGACATGTCATAGGTCTCCCAGAGGAAAGTCATGTCCACAGAGCCATCCTTCCTGTCCTGCATGATGTCTGTCTGGAAATGATAAGCACTGCAATCAAACTTGTCTGAAGGACACAATCCCTGGGACAGAAGGACAGGCCCTGTGAACTAGGGCAGATTGATGTGCCTGTGCAACCCAGAGTCTGTGTAACTCTTTGATGGAATCCACTGTATATCTAACAGGAGCTGGAATATTTTGGTATGCAATTTTCTGGAAGAAATAGAACAAAATTTTGCAAAGCTGCTCAGGAAAGATATTCCTGGCTTTTGGCCAGCTGTACTGAGTCTCCAGCTCTGAGGCTGGGGAGGGAGCTACAGCAAAAATAATACAGAGAGAGGCAAGCAGCAGGGAATGAAGTTCTAGCCAAGATTAAGAGCTTTCAGATGAAAAGAGATTAGCACTGGGTCTGGGCTGCTCATGTACAGAATTTAGGTTTTTTTTAAGGCACTTTGTGCCATCATGCTGGAGCCATGTAGGGCCTACAGATGTCTGGTCATCTTAGATCTGAAACTGCAGAGGTGGAAGATGAGCACCCTGCAGGTTAACCACCCATGTCTCAGTGCTGTGGTGGCTCTGAATCACAGCAGCAGCCCAGAAGCAGTGGGTCAGTCCTAGGGGCCTTTTTGTAATGCAAATTCCACCATTAGCAAATAACCAAACAAAACCTCACAACTCAAACAGCTGCAATACAACATGTGTAACAAAATGGTGGAGGAATTGGTATGAAAAGAAAGGTAACCATGGTTGGGATCAGTGGAGATGAACTCACTCTTCTCTCAGGAGAGAGAGATATGAGCAGCAGGAAAATCCTTTTTCCTTCCAGCTCAATGCCCACAAGACAAGGCAGGATATTCAGCCCCTATGCACTGAGTCATGGGGTCTATTTCCTTCATCTCTGTTTACTTACTTTTGCCATTCACTTCTATCTGTTAGCAGTTTCTGGTGCTCCTTCCATCATGTCCCTCCATCCATTCTGCCTCAGTAGCAGATCCCCATGATACTGGAAATGACATGGGTGAGGTTCAGCTATTCTCTAAGCATTATATTCAACTAAACAAATTAACCTTCACAGCTGCTCTGCAGATGGGAGAGACAAAACTGGCTGGGGTGGGGTTCACTGCAGGCCGAGGCATGTGCTGCCTGCATGTGAGGTTCAAGCCTGACACTTCATCCCACTGCTCTCACACCACTGCCACCCCTGGAAACACAGCTGGGCCAGTGCTGAGCCTTGAGCTTCCCGGCTCTGACACTCCTCCACAGACCTGTGGAAGAGATGGCTTCTGCAAAGACTGCCCCTACAGGGTGGGCTCTGCCCTACCTGGAGTGAGGGACAAGAGGTCCAGTTTCCGTGCTGGAATGACTGTGCCTTTCCTTTTCTTCTTGCTAGACCTGGTACCCACACCTCCTGTCCTGCCCCCACGCAACATCCTCATGGCACTGCCGAGCAGTGAGACAAAGGAGGTGTCTTCTCTCCCTGAAAACTCACGGGTGGCAGAAGTGAATAAACTGTCCCTTTCTGAGACACTACTCCAGCGACTGCAGTACCAGGACACAAGCAGGTAAGGAAGAGCAAGTGACAGGGCTGCTGAACCAGCCTTCAGCCCAGTTCTGTGCTCGCTGGGCTTTTGTGTTTGGAACAGCTGAGGATCTGTTTGATTCAACAAGATTACTCCTCATTTATACTACCAAATAAAGAACAGAATCAGATCAACAGTGCATTGACTGCTGTTTACAGTCCAGCTATTGTCTAGAAAAAAAAAAACCAAAAAACATTTTTGAATTATTAAAATCACCCATACACTTTCTCCACTGAGGTATAGTTTTTTAATATAAAGGATGAGTAATATCTGAGAGAACTTGATTTATTAGCCATGTGCCTAAACAATGGGAATTTGAGAAAAATAAGAAAGCTGTTTGATATTTCGGAGTAGAGAGAAGAGCTGGCTTTTGACCTGTCTGTTTCCTTCACAGTGTCTCTGATGAGCATCTTAAACTCATCCAGGATTACCTGCGAGTTCACATCATGAGTGACTTTGAGATGGTGCAGACTGGCTCAAACAATCTTCCTCAACTGAAGAAATTACTTACAGCTCTTTGCAAAGGACTCTTCAGGTAACTAGAAGCTGGTTTTCAGAGTGTAATGCCATAACACTGTAGTCTAACAAAGGTTCCAAATGAATGCATTCAGAACCCTCACTTCTGGCACAGGAAATTGCCTTGCCCTCAAAACCAGTGTATTTAGGTGTCATGACCTGTGATTCTGGTTCAAAGATATGAAATCTATATAGAAGAGACAGCTCTGACAGTCAAGTTTTCTTCTAGGTGGTTTCAGACAGCAGAGTGTTATATTTCATGCTTTGTTTAGAAGGAAACAAAACAAAAAAAGCAATAACCGATTAACTGCATAAATTGGTAATGCATAAATGACACCCACAGGATTGTCAAGCACAAGCCATTTATAGAAACAAGCACAAATTAGTGTAAAACTAGACTTTAAACACTGATTTTCCTTCCCACTAATGCATTATGAACTTGGAGTGATTCCACTGATGTTGGTGAAGGCCAGATTAAATGAAAAAAGGAACAAGCCTAAACTTGTTCTTGACTCTACAAATTTTACCATTCCTGTTTGTAGACCTTCCATGTCACAAATAGAAAAATTCTGACAGGGTACATTGCAGAGCTCCCTCCTTCTCTGGTGGAAGGATGTTATTTCTCCCTTGCTGACTGTAATCAAGGGGACCACCCAAACTTTTGCAGAGCTCTTGGAGCACTCTGTAGCAGAGGGCACGTATTTCCACACTTCTCTCCATGGCTAGCCATACCCTTCTCTCTGGTGTATGCAGATGTGAGGTTGGTTGTGCTGCTGGCCTGATCCTGTTCTTCTAGAAGCCAGCTGCCCACAGACAAGCCCCTGTGAGGACTGAGGACAGATTGTTCCAAGAGGTGCCCTTCTGCACCCTGCCTGAGCATTTTGCTTCTCTACACACACAGGAGGGGAGACCCAGGTGGCCAGCTAAGAATAGACCTGAACAGTGGAAGCTCTAATTGAATGAAATCACAAGTGAGAGTCTTGTGTTACTAAAATACCTCCAGTGTTGCTGTTGTAATGATGTTTGGTTTCTCCCATTTCCAACTTCTTATTCTACTTAAGTTTATCTGGGTTTCACAACCCTATTCCTCATAAAAATGAAAGAAAGGAGATGCAGCAAGGCCATAATTCGCTCAAATGCCAGGACATCTTTAACATTTCTGGATTTTCTGTAGTATTTCTGGTGACTAGATATTGCAAAGTGACATCCTAAAGCAGAGCTGGGTGAGTTCCGCTGCTGGTGGAAGCCTGCTGAATGTAGGGACATGTCATGGTTTGAAAGACAGGTGCCTGCCAAAGAAGGTGGGAAGCTCCCTTAGAATGGAAAATATGATCCACTTCCATCCAAATTATTTAACTTTGAACTTAAGAGGCTCTCAGGCAAAGATACAAGAAAAGGAATAACAGTTCTTTACTAGAATATTTTTTTATTACATATTCTTTTATATATAATTTTAAAAATATATATATATATGTAAAACAAGACAAGCTAAGGACGACAACAGCAGCAACAACAAACAAAACCAGAAACCCAGCACCAGCCTTCTCTCGGCCGCAGGCGCGTTCCCTCCGGTGCAGGTCCGGCAGAGACAGCACACCTGGGGTGGCAAACAAGTGTAGCAAAAACACTTCAGGGGGAGAGCTGCAATCACCCTAGACACAATGCAAAAAAACCAAAACCAAAATAAAAAAAGAGGATATGGGATAAAAAATAAAAACCATCCCCAAGACAGGACACTGCACCAGCACAAACCCAGCAAAGGACAAGGGCTTGCCCTCTGTCCTTCTGGTGACTTCACATAGCTATGGAAATGCATTTCCTCATGCAGTTCTACCCTAGCATTTTCTCCCCATACCTGCATTGTTTGGTTTGTTGGAGCTGTCTTCTGAATTTTGCCATGACAATCCAGAATTGCAGGCTATGTCTCCTTCAGTCCCTGTCAGGTGTCACTGAGGAGCCTCTCCCCCTCTATTCACATTGTCTCATGGATCTCTACCATCCAACCAAACTGCTTGTTTACCTTCCGCTGGCTAATAATCAGATGCTTGGTATCCTACTGTTTTACACTTAATCTCTGAGGTTGTCTAGGGTTTAAGATTACTTCAGTCAAGAAAATGAATCCACAAACACCAGAGGTTTATGTCCAAAAAGGAAAAGAGGAGTCCGGTTACTTTATTTGAATAAAGGGAGAGGCCATGGGGCATTCCCCTGAGGTCTCTCAAATTGTTAGAGGACGCAGCCTCCTTTTTATCCTAATTTCCTGGCCACATTTCTCTCTCTCTTTCCCCATTGGCTGAGTTACTTGAGAGGTACAGTCTTCTCAAATCACTTAATACAGACCCCCTTCTAATATATACCCCCCCTTTTCTTTTCCTTGTGTCAACCAGTGGAATTCGTATGGAATTCATGTTCCTCCTATTGCTTCCTTCATCTCTCAGTATCTACCTTTATTTATCAGCAGACCCACAGTTTGTTTGTAAAGACAAATCCCTTTCATTCCTTTCATCAATCAGTGGAATTCTTCCTATTGTTTCTTTTATCTCTCAGTATCTAATTTATCACCAGACTCACAGTTTGTTTGTAAAGACAAGTCTTTCCTTTCACTCATTCCTTTCACTTTCCTTATGTGACTTCTGAACTCAGATTTTACCAGTGGCATTCCCTAAATTTAGTTTTTATTTCCCTGAGCTTCCTTCAGCTGTGCAGGGAATTACAGCTGAAAGTACAGGTTATTCCTAGGCTGCTTCTTGGTGTCTCCTTTTAATGTCCAATTCCATTATTTTCACACTATTTGAGAATAGGTTAAAAAACAAAACAAAAACCCAAGAGCAGTGGAGCTGAAGCTCCTCTGAATTTCCAGGCAGTGCTGAGGGTTATGAGTGTGCAGCACAGACTCGTTGTGGCTGGGCTGGCCCAGCTGCTGGGGAGCCACACAGACTTGCTGTGAATGTGAGGGTTTTATGATCTGTGCTCTGGCTTCCCCCACCTCGCAGAGCTCAGCGGTACCATCTCTCAGGGCCAGGGCCAGGCTCAGACACGCTGCAGTCGCTGTGAGAAAGGAGCATCCAGTGCCCTTTGCTCCTCAGCCCAGTGCTGTGACCCCAGGCTGTGGGTGGGTGGTGGCTGCTGAGGTCAGCAAAGCAGAGGGGACAGCACTGGAGCTGCTCAGTGGTCAGAAGGAAAGAGCTTATAGTGAGCAGTGGGGCTGGGAGAGGAACTGGACTGACTGTGAACAGTCTGTGTCTTTGGCAGTTCAGGTATTGCCCATGGGCAGGGGCAGGATGCACATCTGGCCAAGAAGCTCAAGCGCAGCAGACCAGAGTGCAAAGTTTGTGAGCTCTTCCCTCACCCTTTGTCGCTGATTAATTTAGCAAGGCCTGGACCCCAGTGTTCATCAGATACTGGGAAAGCTGGTTTTAACTCTGATGCCTCTGCTACAGCTACCTTTTAGAGCTAGCAGTGGCCAAGGGGGTCAGGACAGCCATGGCACATCTCCTTATTAGAGTCTGGGGGACCAGAAACAGCCACCCTGGGGAGAGGCCACTCCCTCTGGCAGATCTTATACTGGAAATAAACAAACAAAACTAAGACCTGTAAGGCTGATGGGTACTCTTGTGAGGCATTCCATGCTAAAGAAGTTGCCATACGAGGAATTCCTTGGCCAGGGGAATCCTTCAGCTGCTGAAAAGCTAACTTAGAGAGAGCTGGGACTGCCCATGCAAGGGGATTTGTTCAGCTTCCAGTGGAAAAACACCAATAGTGGTCTATTCAATCTGCTACTGTTAGAAGCCATCATTTGGTCATCAATTGCTGCTCTGCATATTCTTCTTTACTCTCCCTCAATAGATAATTTGCACACAGAGTTTTTAAGGCAGTTTTTCAAGCACTTGTGATACCAGCATTTGTGCAACTGCATGTGTACACACAGGCTTCTGACACTTCAATGAAGATTACTAAAAGTATTTATACTGTCAAGAGAAGAAAACAAAAGAAATTGCAAATGTAATTAAAACCACCCTGTGGTTTTAGTGGGCTTGAATGCCCACAGGAGCTGTTCCTCTTCCTCCTCCTCACACACAGCCTACATGTTGCACTATGAACAGAGGGCAGTTTTCCCATGTGAAATCACTCCTGAGACAGCTGCTGCTGTGTTTTCAAGAGATAACCTGCACATCACAGTAAATATCCTTCCACTCTTCTCAAACGAAACTTCTCCCAGTGTTCCTCTAACTGCTTGCAGCCTTCTGGGATCTGACTCCATAGCTGCAGAAATCAATGGGACTCTTGGGTTTGGGGCCAAAACTGCAGCGACACTGGCCCTAGGTGATCCAGAGCTGAATAGAGGCATTGGAGAAATAAAATTAGCAGAACAGATTCCTACATGTGCCTTGTACTCCTCTGTGTGCCACGGCAAGTCTTTCAGACTGAAATGTCAAACATGAATGTTTAATTTAGGCAATTAGTCATCCTTGGTTCAGCATCTAGAGAAATATCTTCAGGCAGGCATGCTTTTGCTTTGGAGCACTTTCCCTAACAAAGATGGAATAAAATCCAGTCCATTCAGACTTAGTAAAGTGAGGGAAATCATTAATATCCACAGTTGACTAGACACAGTGCAAGCATGCTAGTGCTGCTCACCACCATCACCTTCCTTTTGACCTGTGCTCCCTGGCTGCTCTTTCTGGGATAAGTCTTGTCATTATCAGCATGCAGCTTCTGCACCAAATTCACACAGCAGTGTTTCAACAAATGAGCATCCTGTGGAATCTCATTGGGAAGCTCTGGAAGAATGTCATTATTACCTGTAAATGGTTCTGCTCCGGAGATCAAGGGCTGCCTCTTCCATCCCATTACTGTGCCTGGCCCCTCTTTGTCATGTGAGATGAAATATCTGCGAATTGGTTTCCTCTTCATACTGAGTCCCCAGCACTGTCCTCAGCAACCACAGCAGCTGCACAGGTCCTGTACAGAACTGAGCTGCTCCCACAGCTGCAGCATTCAGAGGCACCAGACTGAGGTGGGCTCTGAGGCATTTGAGTACACTTGGATCTACGAGTTGGCATAGCTGGGTTGATGCTGCTTGTACACCGTATCTTCAGGTTTTGCCTTGACTGGGATACCTGTCTGGGGACATTTAGGAAGTTAGAACCTCCAAAGCAAAACCCAAGGAGCAGCCATGTTTGCTGCTGTGTGACTCACACTGCCCTGCTGACCATGTCACCAAGCAGCTGGGATTTGCTCCCCTCACACACCCCACAGCTCAGAGGGCACATGATGAGGACAAGCCCAGTGTGGACATGTGCCCATTGTGAACGTGTGCCTGTCATCTCATCTGTGAGGCGTTGTCCAAGTGTGAACAGAGCCAGGGAGCCAGCCACAGCCTTAGACCTGTGCTGTGTCTGTGTTCCCAGTGAGGCCTCGAGGACTCTCCCATCTCTGGAGTCCATCCAGAAGGTGTTTGAGCAGCAGCTGCATCCCAGTACCCACCAGCGCTCCCAGGTAAGGGGGCTGGGAGGTGGGAAGAGCAGAACAGGTGTGTGGGTGGCTTTCAATGGGTGCAGGGATGGCTCTGGTGTGTAGCCATGGCCAGTGGGGTGCAGATGGGCACACACCACATCTATTCTCTTTAGCCTCCTTCTGCTGCAGTGCAGCGGGCACAAAGTGAGTTCTGTCTCACACTTTCACTTATCCCATAGTCCTCTCCTCCTGCTTCCCCTGCCTGTCCTAGAGGAAAATGCCACCAACTGCCTGAGGACTCCTACCTCCCCATCCTCCCTCAGAATGTGGGCTGGCACTGCACACTTCTTTTTCCATAAACCTCACTCCAGGATGTCTCACTGCCACATCCTTCCTTTTCCCAAGCCCACTTAAGTCCCCATAACATTCCTCTCCCTGTCAGAAAACCAAAAGTCCAGGACTTCTGTATGCTGAGCCCCAGGACTGGTCATGTGAGCTTGCTTCCAGCAGCAAGCTGACTCCCATGCATGGCCTGCTGCCTCGACCCTATGGAACAGGTTTGCAGATTTGTCCTTCCAGCCTCCCACACTTCTGCGTGTTCTGTGCTCTTGTGGTGCCCACTGTAGATCGGAGTGGCAAAGGTACAAGTGCTGCTCCTTGATCTGTGAGAGATGTTCCTGGGACTGCACTCCAGGCTGTGCTCTGTGGGCTTGGTAATCACTCATCTCCCTCTCTCTTTTTGTACCTGTGCTGCGGTTTCAGATGCTTGGTGAAGCAAGTCCAGTCAATATTGTATTGAAACTCAACCAGCTGATTTCTTTGCTGTCTTCTATTGAAGAAAAGGTAGAGTTTTCAAACTATTTTATATCATCTTCTTGTCCTCCTTTGCCTCTAATTTGTTTCTTGTTCATCATCAGTGCAAGTGCTCTACCACAGTAAGATTTCTTTGTTCTGATTTCATTAGTTTCAGTGTAGTGCAGAATCACCAAGAAATAAATTACACATAATTATTTTACAGGTGAAAACACTGTTGATTGAAGGTCCTGATTCAACACACCGGCGCTCCCTTATTCCCCCTGTCACTTTTGAGGTAAATTACTCCTTTAACGATGTTGATCAAAATGTGGAAGGACAGTAATGCAGATTTATGTCAGTATCTCAGCTCCTGGGAATTTTGCTCTGCTGCCACAGAGATAGCAGCTATTCCTGGGTGCTGTTTGGCATCATGAAAATGCCTAAGAGATGTCTGGTGAGACTGGCATAATGATATGCATCCAGGAGCTAAGGCAAGTGCTGCATATGTAATACATGTGACTGAAGTGTAGAAGGTCCCTCATGGAAAACCTCTCTGTATTCCACTAGGTGAAAACTGACTCCCTAGGAATTTTCTCAAAAATTCAACTCAAAGTGGATGTGGAAATGGGAAAACTGATTATCAAGAGATCTAAGGATGGTCCAGAAGACAAATTTTATACCCACAAGAAAAGTAAGATGTCAGCTTAATGTCACAAATGCTGAACTAGGCTCTGGGAATTCTGCTACGTCCTGGGTGCTGCATGAGCACCAGTCAACAAGACACAGATATCTCTGTAGTGGGATAACCAGCTTTCACAGATTGTTTTAGACCCAGTCTCCAGGTCTAAATGAGGACACTGGAATCAGCACTGCAAGGGACCAGGTTTTGGTAGAAGATTCCCCATAGAGCTGGTTGCAATAGAACCATTTTTCTTCTGAAAAGCAATGCCACTTGAAAAAAGAACATGCTGACTTCTGTGATGATTTTTGATGATAAAAAGCCAGACACTCAGTTTCTGTAACATTTTTCAGTGAATTTCCCTTGATTTTTTTTTTGTATGTAGATCAGTATCTCTCATCATGAGCAACGCCAGTTTGGACTGTGATTGCCTAATTCAAACAACTTCCCTTTTTTCTCTTTTCTTTCTGAGCAGGCAGCTCACTGAAGTTGAGACAGAGATCTGTGAGAGAGTAGATTATACCCTTGGGCTCTCTCCAACTAGAAAATCAACCTGTTGCTGGCAGTAATTGAAAATATGAGCTTTCACGCATGGCTTTCTCCACCTGGTGTTCATAATAATTAGCTGCTATTTTAGATGGGAGGAATCACCTTTACCACCAAATGAGGTCTTACATCCTCTTTCACAGATGGGGAAGGAACACATGTAGGCTGGCTTGGGATACAGTGGGATTGCCTGCACAAAGTTAAGGCTTCATTTCACAGAGCCAGGCTTGAGATGGAAAAGACTCCGAGCAGAAGAGTTTTGGGGGGGGTCCTCTTCACTTGGAATCCAAATCTGTTCCTACTGGGAATAGGATTAAAAACTCTAAAATGCAGGTCTGCAAGGCAAACTGCATCATGTAAATCTCAAGCCTTTGAGCAGAATTCTGTTTGTTATGGTGGGACCCTTATTTCAGTGAGTGCACTTGTGACACCCAGCCTGTGTTCAGTCTTGCAGCTCATCAAGTCCCAGAAGGTTCCAAACAAGCTGGTTATTGTTCTGGAAACAGAAAAAGAAAAAACACAACGGAAGGAATATGTTTTTTCTGATTCCAAGGTATGTACATCGTGTTTCTTTCCTGCCAGCCTGGAGCAGGCACCCGGGTGGGAGTGGAACATGGGACATTCTTTGGTAGAAAGCGGAACTGCTGAAGGACAATAGTTGCCTTTGTAAAAAGTAATTTTCTCCTGTGTTCTGGAAACATCCAGAAAATGAGCAAGTATACCATCTAAAGGGAGAGATAGTGGACACCTAAGTGCTGCCACTGAGGCAGGAGGACAGAGCAAGCACTGAGGAGAAACAAGCAGTCAAGATGGCCACTGTGAAAAGGTTCTTGTAGACAAAGAGGGAAGAAAAGATTTTTTTCTGATCAGCTCAGCATTTGTTAAAGCAATGCACAAGCTAAATGCCTAAAAGAGCACCACAGGAAAGGCAGCCTCTAGGAAGTTTTCAGGATAGTGCAGAGCTAATCTGCCCTTCAAGTGTGCTGGGAATTTCCTGGTTCAGCAGGTTTTTCAAGAGGTCATGTCAGAGGAGTTAAGTATCTCATTATTTTCTTTGCTCTTCCCTATCTAGAAGAGAGAAGGGTTCTGCCAGCTTTTACAGCAGATGAAGAATAAACACTCAGAGCAACCAGAGCCTGATATGATCACCATCTTCATTGGCACCTGGAATATGGGTATGGGCTCCCTTCTGCCACAGGCACTCCTTCAAACTCTGCCTAAAGGTGTGCTCTGCTGGCACAACGAGCTCCAGACTATCTGTTGGGTTCTGAAGGATTGCTCAAGTGACAGGGAATTGTGGCTAGCACAAAGGTGGTGCAGCAGTGCACATCATCATCCACCTTGCAGAAAGGACAGGAGCAATTCTACAAACTGTGTACCTACACAGTTTGTGGTGATTGGGAGTGGGGCTGGGATGAACCTCATCCCCAATGGGTACAGCTGTAAAAATCAGGTGAGCAGCACTGACAGCAATGAGCCATGGAGTGCCCAGGTGCACTGACCAACCACCAAAGGGAACAGAGGGCACACAGGTGCCATGCATCAACATGAGGGTATAAAAGATTGGGCTAAAGAACAAGAAGGGCAGACATTTGCAGCCTTCTGAAGTGCCATGATGTTACTCTGTATGGGTTGAAGATTTCCAGACTTGTATGATGATACTCTGTGTATCATGGCCATCTCAACTGCCGCATATGCTGTGAGGTGTGCTGAGACAAAAGTGCACATCAGCTGCTCTCATTTGACTAGGGGCAGTTCATGTCCAGCCTGGGAAGACAGCTGAGTGTCTGTGGTACTTAGAGAAGGGGACAAGGTGTGGCTGAGGACAGTTAAATATAGTTTTTTTTCCTCCCTTTTGGTATGGAAGCCTGGTTCAGCTGCTGTGAGCTGAGCTGTCTGTGTTTGGCCATCCTTAAGGAGTAAGGTCAAGGCAGTGGTAGGCCAGGAGTACAGTGCTCTGCCTTTACTCCTGGTTAGCCTTGGCCTTGGAAAACTGATCAACAGGAGGAAGGTGGTCAAAGCAGAATAATTTCTTTCGCAGTGACTCAGGAGGAGGTAACATCATTGTCATCTTAGAATAGTGTGCCCTGGCTGATAAAAAAGTGATATGAGATATGAAGCCCATCATTTCTGTCTCCATGTGTTATCTTTGTCCTGGTTTTGACAAACATTCTCTGACTTCCTTTGGTGTTTGATGTGTTAATAAAAGGTGCAGCCCCAGCCCCAAAGAAGATCACCTCCTGGTTCCTCTCCAAGGGGCAGGGGAGGACCCGTGATGACACTGCTGACTACATCCCTCATGACATCTATGTGATTGGCACCCAGGAGGATCCCCAGGGGGAGAAGGAATGGCTGGAGACCCTAAGGCAATCTCTGCAGGAAATCACCAGTATCAGCTTCAAAGTGGTGAGGGGTTATTCTAGCTATTGCATGGAACTCAGGAGATGAGGGTGTACATGTTGTACAAATAGAAGAGATGGGAATCAGTGAGATTTTGCCTGTACCTCCTCCCTTTATTTTCATTGCATTTGGGTGAAGGAGAATGAACTGAATAAGTCTGTGGGCTCCAAAAGATGCCCCTTTGGAATTGGCTAGATGGACCTGTTGCTATGGACAGTGATCCCTCTGGCCAAAGCAGGGACCCTGCCAGCCTAGGTGCAAGGGGAGATGTTGAGCACTCAGGTCGAGTGCTGGCATTATTTTGACTTTCAAACAGGAGAAGACTCTTAAACTTCCTGAGCCAATTGTAGCCTAAATCTCCTCCTAGGCTATTGCACTTTCAAAGTAGGATGTAACAGTACACAGGCAGAGACAAGACATAAGAGAAACTTGGACCTTATTAAGACCAGCTTCAGACATTCCTGGGTTTCAGTGATGTCAAGAAACAAACCTGAGCATATCTGGAAAGCTAACTCTCATGGTGATCAGGAAGCTATTTTGTTCAAGCAAGATAATCCAAAGATTAACTAGAAAAAAGGGCTGGAAAATAGCAGGTTACAGCATTGATTAAAATGATTAGAAACATATCCTGAGCACAGGAAGAAAATTTCTGTAGAAGTGCCATCGAAGGAGTCAAGAATGCTGCAGCCACAGTGCAGCTTGGCAAGTATTTCCAGAAATATAACCTCTACCCTTCCCATTTCTGCAGATAGCCATCCATACCCTCTGGAACATCAGGATTGTTGTCCTGGCCAAGCCAGAACACGAGAACCGCATCAGCCACATCTGCACGGCCAATGTGAAGACCGGCATCGCAAACACGCTGGGTGAGGCACGGGCAGGGCCTGCCCAGGCACTGTGATCTGCTCAGCCCACAGGGATCAGCTCTTCTTCTACAACACTCGTTAGGCAACATTTATGTGACACTCCTAAAGTTATATCCCACTAGCACTGGTTGTGTTTTACCCTGTAAGAGAGGAAATCTATTTGTGTATATACTTAGGACACACACAAACATACACACATATATATACATTTATATTCCCAGCAAACACTTTTGACTGTCAATTGGATTACTCTTTCTTGGGTTTCACAAGGAAGTTGCACTTCTTTCCCTTCAACTAATTTTTTTAGCACCCTTAAAAATTTGTTCCCACAATCTGTGCTGTATGCACTAATTTTTTTCTATGTTGATTAAGTCAATTTCTCTTCTCCATCCTCCACTTTACTTCCTATGTGCTAGGTGCTTTATTATCTTTGCTGGATTCAGCCTGGAGGTGGATTAATTTTCTGTCATTTTTTGCTTCCCTTTTACCAGGCAATAAAGGAGCAGTTGGGGTGTCATTCATGTTTAATGGAACCTCCTTTGGGTTTGTTAACAGCCATTTGACTTCAGGAAGTGAAAAGAAACACAGGTAAGATACATCCTCCCCTCTCAAAAATTACTGTTGAGCCAGGGTGAAATTCTCTGGGCCATATTTGGAAGGCGGGCCCACCAGACAGGCACAAACATATTTTCCTGACCATAAAAAATTGTTTAATGTCTTCTGGGAGGGCATTTAAACAAGGGACTTTTGCTATTTGGCCATATCACTTGGGTGCAGGAGAAATGGATAGCAAAATTATTTCAGAGCCAAGAGTAAAACACTTGCATGACCTATCATAAAACCCACTGCATGAGGAAAACATAGATTCCATAGAAAAATAGATTCCATGATCTATAATGTTTTGAAGAAATGTGGGAAGGCTTTTCCCATCCCAAAATAATGTGCTGAAGGGGACTGTCTTCCTTCTCACTGTAGGCAGTGCTGTGAGTCCCAGGACACAGCTGAGAAAGATCCCTCAGGAATACCAGGAGGGAGGTGTAGAACAGGAATATCCCCGCTGTGACTAATTCCCTATACCTAGCTGTGAAATAAGTGTTTGTGAATTAGGCAGGTTCTGGTCAGCATAGGACTGGAAGGCAAAGATCCCGACACCACTGGGAAATCAGTGCCCATACTGGGAGGAGCTGGAGCAGTTTTGATTTTGAAAGTGAAGTGGACTTGAAATGAAGAGTTTGGCCTTGTCATCTTTACCAGTCCAGGAAACAGATGGTGTGGGATTTCTGCACAGGGTCTTTGCTACTGATAAAGTTAACTTCTATTGAAGGGTTCCTCAGGGGCTGGAAGAGTTGCCAAAATCTAGTTATGTGTTTGCTGCTGAAATGTGAAGGAGACAATCTAATGCTGGGTTTCTAGGACATGTAGCTCAGAAAAGCACAGCCCCAGAAGGCAGCAGAAGTGGCTTCAGGAGCACATTCCCTGGGCCTGTCTGTTGGGGTGGCAAGTTCTCAGATTCTGATCTGCTCCTCCGTAGCTCTTGAGTTGGAGCAGCTCCATCCTGCAGCCTCTGCCATCCCAGGCATTTGGAAATTTCATGGCAATTTAGGATGTCAGGCAGATGTTTTCTTGTCTTGACAGACGCAACCAGAATTACACGAACATCCTGCGCTTCCTGACACTGGGAGATAAGAAACTGAGTCCATTTAACATCACTCATCGCTTTACTCATCTTTTCTGGCTGGGAGACTTGAACTACCGTGTGGAACAGCCCCCGACGGTGCGGGAAGCCCTGCAGGGACAGCACGCTCTGTTGCTATAGGAGTGCTCTCTTCTTCCAATCTAGGGCAACATGGCAAAAAGAGGGGAGACAGAAGGGATCCCCAGGGCATGAGTGTGGCCCCAGTTGAAGGAGAGTAAGGAAATCCCTTTGCCCTCTCCAAGGATTAATGGACCCAGGAATGCCATCTGGCACACTTTGCTGCTTCAGGCAGCCTCGGTTCCCCAAACCTCACAACTTTTCCTTCCCATTGTGAACAAGCATCTGTCCCTCAATGGCCAATCCAGAGATTGCCTTTCTGCTCTGGTTGGTGAGCTTGGAATGGCTCAAAGAGGCCTTCAGGAACAGGCAAGCCCTCATAAATACTGGATAGGTTTCAGTATGTGGGAGAAAATACCAAGCTCAGTGTCGAATTGCATGTGGTTGTGAGGGTGTGTGTTCTTGTGTAGGGGATGTGTGGGCATTTCAATACCTGTTTTGATAGACAAATGTTCAGCCACACAAAAAAGGCTGGGGCTTTTCAGTGAAGGGAAGGACAGGGAAGTGGCAGGGGCTACATCTCTGTCAAACAGCTCAAGAGCACTCACCAGTTAACCTGTGAAGGGAGTATTTATAAGTATTTATTTGCATCATCTGCAGCTCTGCTGTTTCCCTGTTGGCAGGAAGCAGAAAATATTATCCAGAAGATCAGGCAGCAGCAGTATCCGGAGCTGCTGGCTTTTGACCAGCTTCTCCTCGAGAGAAGAGACCAAAAAGTGTTCCTGCAGTTCGGTGAGATCCTGTACTGGCTGGCAGTATCCTCTGCTACATCCACCAGCCTTCTCTGCCAGCCCCAGCATGGGGCAGGGTGTACAGGGCAGTGGCTCTGTTGCCCAGGTGAAGATTCCCAATGGCCAAGCTGTAACCGAGCTCTTTCCCTGTTTTAGAGGAAGAGGAGATTACTTTTGCTCCAACCTACCGCTTTGAGAGAGGCACCCGGGAGAAGTATGTTTACACCAAGCAAAAAGCTACAGGGGTAAGTTAAAACTGATTTCTGTTCAGAGGTATATGGCAGAGCTGTGACAGCAACTCCTGCAGAAGAAAGAGACCTAAACCAATCTCTCTGTTTCCTGCCCTTGTAGTGTTTTGAAAGGAGTCAATACAAACAAAAAGACACAAATATATAGTGCTTGGGTGAATGAATTTCCTGTTCTTTTGTGAACTGGCCCTTTCCATTCTTCTTGACATTACTTCTCCTTTGGTTTGCAGATGAAGTACAATTTGCCATCCTGGTGTGATCGAGTGCTCTGGAAATCCTACCCCATGGTGCACGTTGTGTGTCAGTCCTATGGTGGGTGGAGAACAGATTGTCGATAGCAAGGCAACCAGTCTGAAACGGAAATGATTCAGAACAGAGTCTGTAGGATCTCCCTGCACTGCCAGGCACTCAGCATAGAGGGACCTGATGTTAAATGAGGCAGAGGGGAGCCAAAATCTCTCTGCCTGTAACCTTACAGGGATGGGAATTCATTCTGTTATTCTTTTATATGCAGAACACCACCTGGACAGTTGCAGCTGTCCAACTTTAGACCATTCTGTAGGATCACTTTACACCAGTTATTTCTTGGCAGCAACCATTACTTTTCCTGTGCAGTCACTACCCGGAACTCCTGACAGTGAGTGCCAGCAGGACAGACCCTGTGTGCACAGTCCAGTCTGCAGAGACTGGAGCTGCAAACATCTCTTGTATCAAATCATATTCCAGAAGAACTGTGTGGTACCAAGAGCCTGTTCCCTTTCCTGCTGAGAAGCATCACTAAAGTGCAGTGCAGGAAAGAGAAAAAGCCCACAAAAGCTGTTTAATAAAATACTCAAATACCAGTTTCTGAAATGTCATCAACTATATGTAGGACTGAGCATCCGAGTATGGTATTCAGGGTTTCCTATGTGTGGACTGGGATCAGGGCTGTGAAAGTTTCTCAGGGATAAAGCAGGCTGATCTGATCACAAAGCCCATGATGCTGAGGTGTGAGGTTGAATAGGCCTCTCTGGAAGGACTGGGTTTGCTGGAACTCAGTATGTGTTTAGATCCAATCAGGCCTTGCTCACCCACTGTTAACTTTGGGCCAGGAGTTGCTTTGTAGCACTGAAGCAGCATCAGTGTATTCTTGTGTGATTTCCTGATATATTAGAGCTATAATTAACTGTTCATGTTGCAGAGGTAACCAGGAAGCCTGTAAGGGCTTTTTGTACTGCAGGAATCTAACACTGACAGTCATCTACAAAACAATACAGTAAAATGGTGTCCCTTAATCAAATCTTTCTGTATTCTGACAGAAGAGTTACATTCATGTGTACTGACATGAGTTTATGCAGAGAAACGCTTTTGACTAGAGACAGTTACCAGAGAGACTGTTACATTTTCTGGAAAATTACTGAATATTTCTTTGACAGTGATTTCCCTGGAGCAGGGCAGTAACTGTCCTCCCTTTCTCCTGGCAGGCTGCACCACTGACATCATGACAAGTGACCACAGTCCTGTGTTTGCCACCTTTGAAGTGGGAGTCACCTCACAGTTCGTTTCCAAGAACGGTCAGTCAGGCTGGGTGCATGTGTGCCATCTTCACCTTGGATACAGAATCCATTGCTTTGTATATGCTGAGAGAAAAAGCCAATTCTTTAAGAGCCCACTCAAAAATGCCCTCTCTTTATCTCCTACTGAAAGTGACATTACTTTCCCTTCCTCTTTCCTAGACTCCAAATACACAGATTCCCAAGGGGAGATAGAGTTCCTGCACTGCTACGCTACTCTGAAGACTAAGTCCCAGACCAAGTTCTACATTGAGTTTCATTCTAGCTGCTTAGAAAGTATGTGTTTGCCCATCTTTCTATCAAAGTTTTCTGCATGTTTGGATTAGTTCTTCTCCTTCTTGCTTTGCTCTTAAAAGATAGCTATGTGGATAATTTGTTCCAATGCAAAAAAAGGGATGTCCTAAAGATTTGCTGTAGTTTGCAAGACATTCTATACTATCAGCAATACAATGCAAACCCCACACCAAAGGTAGCTGTAATCCATGCTTAGACATGTAGCCTTCCAAACAGTTTTTCCACCTTGTTTGTCAATCTAATTCCTTTCTTGATGGGAAACATATATTATTCTTGCTTATCACACAGAAATTGCCTACATAGTAAAGACATGATTGATTAAATTTCTAATTGTGACTGCTACAAATGATCACGTGATGTCAAATTAAGGCATCTGCATTTTCCTAGCAAAAATAATTAAAAATAATTAAATTAACCTGATTTAACAAGAAATAAGTCAGAGGATCAACTAAAAGGGAAATGAATGCTAGTAATGTGACTTTGTAAGTGGGACGGTGTACCCCACAGTACTGCAGATTTTACTGCCTGTGCCCCTGCTGTGGGGCTGAGTCTCAGCTGTTTATGTAACACAAGCCTACGTGCCCTTGCTGTGGGTTTTTTAAAGCAATCTCCCATCACAGAACTGCTCTTGTAAGTGGGACAGCAAGCCTTTGGTGGATGCTTCATCACATTATCGCATGTCAGAGCGCTGTGTCAAAGACAGTTCCATAAAAGATTATTTTTTGGCTGTATCAAAATTTGCATAAATTTCTATGGAAACAGTGTATTATGAATCTTAAATTAGAATTTCAAAAGTATGCTATCTTGAGTGGCGTAGGAAGAGCTGTCATGTTCTTATCCTCTGGTCCATGTATGCACTGATCTCCTCAGTGCCAAGTTTAACTGCAAAATGAAACCATTTAACAATACTCTAGCAAAACCACTTGCAAATTTACTGTGTAAAAATTCATCCAAATCCCAGACTTTAAGCTTCTTAATGCTTTTAAAATTTGTGTTCAAGTAGGAAAATAATCATGGGCTTTTTGGAGACATTGTGAAGAGGATTTGTAGCCCAGTTCTTGCTGTCTCTCTCCTGGTAAACTCCTTTCTTGTCCCTTTGCAGGCTTTGTAAAGAGCCAGGAAGGAGAAAATGAGGATGGAAATGAAGGGGAGCTTGTGGTAAAGTTCGTTGAGGCACTTCCAAAGGTAAACTGGGACTTATACTCCATATTCGTATGGAAGAGAAGCTCCACTTTCATCCCATAAGCAACGTTAGATCTTTTACTTTCACAAATACTACTTTCAGGAATATTGTTGTGGTCTCGTTTACACTTAAAGGGACTGTAAGAATGCAGGATGGGCTTAGGCTAAACAGAGTATGTTGTAAGCAGGAAAGGACTTTCCAAGAATTTTGCTGGTGTTATTATGCCATTCAGGACCATGACTTTTTTCTCACCTTTTTAGAGAACATGATGCTGGTTTGAGCAGGCCTATTTTTTTTTCCGTTTTAAATTAAAAATAAAACATCCTAGAGAGTAACTCTGCCCTGGAGTTTCTTTGCCTGGTCAGATAAAACTTGGTATATTTTAGAAAAGTTGATTTAAGTACTTTTTACCTGTGTTAAAAAGAACATGAGTGTTCAGAAGTCGTATTCTGAGTGTCAGTGTCAGACATTAGTTCTGTCCTTGAGATCAGAGCTGTTCTTCATTTCTTGGCATGGTGGGAGTTGAAAGAACTACAAGAGCTCCTGGATTTGGAGCAAATGTGCATGTCAATACCTTTCTAAATAGCCCAGAAGTGCTGACTTTGGAAATAGTGCCTTACACTGAGAAACTGGGGAAAGGCTCTACAATAAGTGATTGCAACAACAGCCAGACAGATTTTTGGGAACAGACTGTAATCAGAGTCCAGACGCCTTCCTCCTCAGGCAATTTTTCAGTCCTGGACTACAGGAGAAAACTGCAGCTCATCTTGTGAGTGTCAGATTTGCAGCATTCCATTTGCTGTGCTGGGACTCAGAGTGCAGCCTTCTACCACGGATATCCAGATATTATCAGAGGCTGATCCTGGAAGTGACATGATAGCCTCATGGGTTTATCCAGCAGCGTTTTCCTCATTTGGGACTGAGTCCCAGGGAGAAGTGTGCTCCTGTCAACCATGTGTTGTATTGACCCACCTTAACTTGTCTTTGCAGCTGACTCCAATTATTTCAGACCCAGAATACCTACTGGATCAACACATCCTGATCAGCATTAAGTCATCAGACAGTGATGAATCTTATGGTAAGTGCTTAGCTTTAAAGTTCTGGATGAATCAAAATCTACTTAGATTTTTCCAAATTACTGAAAGAGTGGGAGAGAAAAGAAATAACTCCTATAGACTGAACATCTATGATTTAGAACTCAACATACACATAAAAATACATTCACTGTGGGCAATATTTTGTGAAGTAATTATGATTAAGGGTAATATGAACTCAAAGCAACAACCTGTGTGAGCTTTACCAGCTCTAAAAGAGCAGTGGTTTAAAAAAAGTCCTTTACAGGAACTAAATCAGGAGTCAGCATGCTTAAATGCATTTATTCAGAACATACAAATCCTGTTTCACTTGCACTTACTTGAGGCATTTCTCCTGGCTACAGAAAAGTATTTGGTTGTGCTTGTGACTCCCAGATTGTCACTAGCCAGAGAATGCAGTCCTTGTCCACAGAAGGCTTTTTGCTTAAATCCCATTAACTGCAATAGCAACCATAGGCTCATCTTTTCCTTACCAGGAGTGGAAGCTCAGAACCCTGAAATTACTCACAAGTAACTTTGATGCCCAAATCCTTCACACATACATGAAGTGAAATAAATGCCCCTAATTTCTCAGGCGATATGATGCTCCTTACTGTGATCCAAAGCAGATTCTCTCCAGTAATTACATACCTGTCAGTGCATTGGTAGTATATGACACAAAATATTTCAGTGCTTAATTTCTCAGTCCCAGCCTCATTGTCTCCCTGTTGTCTTTCAGGGGAAGGCTGCATTGCCTTGCGAATAGAAGCAACAGAATCCTTAGCTCCTATCCATACTGTGCTGACACACCATGGAGAGAAAACGGGGATCTTCCAAGGTGAAATCAAGTTACAAACGTCACAAGGAAAACAGAGAGAGAAACTGTATGGTAAGGATCATCATCATCTCTGCAATGCTCATGCTAAAGAATGCTCACCTCAAAAGATTTCTGATAGCTATCAAACAATTGAAAATTATCTCTGCAATGCCTGCAGTCACAGAGACTGCTTTTGATGCTGAGTGCAAGGAGGTGTGAATATGGTTAGCTCTCAGGAGCATACCTGTACTCTTTCAGGAAGGCACGACAATTGGATTCCGTGGGGTTTTTCATCATTCAAGTAAATTCAGCAGACTGAGAGAGCCCCCTGTCTGTCACCTGCACTGGTTTTATTGAATGAGGATATCTTCCACTTGTGACATGACACACTCCATGCCAAGCTCTCCCTACTCCAGTCATCCTGGGGAGCAAAGAGTATATCAGGCTCTCAATGAGCAGTTCCTTAGCTAGAAGATCACAAACTTTGCTTTTTTCACCTTGCTATCTTTTGTTGTCATTCAGAGCGCAGAAGCAGCCATTTACAATTATTCTCAATGGTGAAATGACTGTATGTGGCTGTTTGGTGGGTCATGACCTTTGTACTTCAAACCACACATTTCTTCCTCTGTCAACAACACATGACATATATTAGTGGGTAGTTAAAAACCTAACAGCAACAACAGTTTAAAACTGCCCATCACTCTGATGGACAAAGAGAGATGCCTACAGGAACACAGAAAACTTGAGCAGACAAACTCTGGAGATATGTGTGCCCCTTCTTTCCTTCAGATTTTGTCAAGATTGAACGTGATGAAATCACTGGTCAGAAACCAAAGAACATCAGCAATTTAGAGCCTAACAAAGACTGGGATCAGACTAACAGGTAAAGGGCAAGTGGGTAAGTCAGCTCCAGGAAAATGGTTGGCACCATAAATGCAAAGTTGGGCTTGCTGTGGGAGCAGCATCAACAGGTGTGCTGAGCACTGGGAAGTGGCTCTGTGGTCAATACTGGTCAATGCTCCTGTGCCCAAAGCTTCAAAAGCTGAGAATGCATTAACCAGAGTGGGTCCCTGAACCCTCTTTAAAAAGGCCCTTTTATTTCCAACAGAAAGTCAAAATCTACTCATCTGATGGCCAGAGAGGCAGCAGCCATCGCTCGCTACTGGGGGAGTGCTGTCTCTTCTCCAGACAGCCTGGGAAAGGAGGATATCTTACGGTAACCTTGCCACCTAAACTGATTGGCTTTTCCTTTCCAAGAGTCATAGCATGAGTCTGAGTAAGGCTGCCCTTTCACCCGTTTTCACTGCAGCTTGTCCTTGCAGGCAGCTTCTGGCTGAACAGCCCCTATGTGTGGCTGCAGGAGTTGAGTGCTCTCTGCAGCCTGGAAAGGGAAGCATCTGCTACAGCTACAGGAACTATTTTAGGGGTGGGGGAGGTTGTCTTGACCCAGCTGCTTCTTCTCCAGTGACCAAGGGGAGTGAGGTACTAACAGGATTCCCCCTTATTCCCTGATTCTGAGGCAACAGTGACAAAAAAAAAAAAAAAAAAAAAAAAAAAAAAGTAAAAAAAAAAAAAAGTAGGTAGTATTGAATCTAAGCAGTCAGTGGACACTAACTTCTTTGTAGCTAGAAGGGAGACAAAATACCTCAAATGTATTTGTGCATGTACCTCCCTAACAATATTTCTTCTCTCGAGCAGCTCCACCCCCACAGACATCAGCAACCCCAACTACCTGGGCATGGCTGCCTTCTCTCAGCAGCCCTCTGCAACCTGCCAGCTTAAGCAGACATCTTCATCAGAGCAGGCACCTTCCCTCTGGAACTATGAGCAGCAGTCCAAAGAGAACACCTCCCTAATGGGGCAGTGTCAGTCATCCTCCACATCACCCTCCTTGTCACCTCTATCTCCAAAACCATCCCTCCAGCCTACAGCAAACAGAAGCATTTGTAATTGGAGTCAAGAGTACCAGTGAGTGTTTGAGTTTTGCACTGAGGCTGGGCTCCTCTCTCCTGTCATTCTGCACAGTCACTGTTTCATTATCTGTTTAGAGAGTTCAAGGTGCAGTGTATTCTTTACATATTTTATCGGTAGAATTACAAAGATAAGTGAAGGTCACAAGTGCAGACATGGCATTTTCAAAGCAAACTAGTATAGCAGTTCCTCAGACTTTTGTGAAAGGAAAGCCAAAGATGATGAGGTAAACTTACAATTAAATAATGGAATCTTAGAATGGTTTAAATTGGAAGGTACCTTAAAGCTTATCTCATTCCACCCCCTGTCATGGGGAGGGACACCTTCCACTATCCCAGAGTGCTTCAAGCCCCTTGCAACCTGGCCTTGGACACTTCCAGGATGGGAGAGCCACATGGGAGAGCCACAACTTCCCTGTGCCAGGGCCTCAGCACCCTTCTTCCTAACATCTAGCCTAAATCTCTCCTATCTTAAAACTTCCCTCTTGTCCTGTCACTATCTGAACTCTCCCTCCTTTATGTAAGTCCTTTTTCGGCACTGGAAGACTACCATGAAGACTGCTTGGAGTCTTCTCCAGACTGAACAACCTGCTGTCTCAGCCTGATATATGGAGGTTTAATTCTCTAGCAAAAGAAGAGAAGGAGAAGTTTATAAAGTAATAACAAAGAAGAAAAGGATTCCTTAGGCATACCATGCTGTATTGGTAGCAAGAGGAGATTGACCTAGTTGTAAAATGCCACAGTATGGTGTGTGTTCTTATTTTAAGCCTCTAGACAACCATTTCCATCCTCTCTGCCAGATCTGAAGATTAATATCCAAATTCAGATTGTGTGTGTCGCAGAGTCATCAAAGGACCTGGCACAGTTTGGCTCAGTAGTTTATCTGTGTTTAAAAAGAAGCCAAACATCACTTTGACAGGACTGTAACCTAGCAGGGAGTTTACACAATGCTATGCATATCTGTTCTCTGCTGCCGTGTTACTAATGATTAAACAAAGTAAAACACACTTCTGTTCTCTCTCCCCGAGTTTAATTGTTTTCCTGTTGCCCCTTCAGGCAGTCAGTTTAATTTGCTCACACTCATTTACAACTCATGTCCTATCTAAATCAGTCAGTGACTGTCTTGCCTGCTCTTCACAAGTCTCCTTTTCATCCTACTTCCATGATTGTAGGCTGCCTGACGTGGGGATATCCATAGCAGAGCCTGTGCTGCAGGAGGAGGGGCAGCAAAGGCCGGAGATGTTCGAGAACCCACTGTATGGCTCCATGGGCTCCAGGGGCAAGGTGGCTCCCAAGAAAGAGCAGGAGTATCCCAAGGCCTTGCGGAAAGAGCAGCCACCACTGCCTGAGCAGAGCTGTCATCTCACAAAACCACAGGAGCCTGAGTGCAGCAAGACCTCTGGCAAACAGCCATCACCACCTTTCCTGGTGCCCACACAGCGATTCCGGTCCTACACTTCTTCCTGCCAATTGGAAGAAAAGAATATAGGGGAAAAGAGTCAAGGCAAACCAAAGATGACACCACCATTGGAAAACTCAGCACCGCTCAAAAAACTCATTAAGCCATCCAGGGCTGAAGTCAGCCTGAGCATCCAGGGACAGCAGAACAAGCCACCCCTTCCCTCCAAGAGCCGGGCAGTGCTGGATATGCAGAACTCCAAGGGCCGCGATTATCGGGACAGTTCAGAGCTGCCGCACTCCGGGAAGCACCGGATGGAGGAGGGCCCAGTCAGCAGGACAACTACACCGGTGCGTTACTCGTTACTCGGGGAATGAAGTGGGGTGGGAGTTGCCTTGGGCTGCGATGTCATTGCAACTAGAGTAGTATTGGCTCAGTCACCAAGTCCTCACTCCATGGTTCCTAGCCAAGCTTAGTGCTGTCCCACAAACCTACAGGGCTTAGCTTTGCAGGAATTTTTATGTTCTTGTGGACTGTTTAAGCATGGTGGTCCACAAGAGGAATGCAAATAGTCAATACGTTGCTATGTCTTATTTTGGGCACACTGTGCTGTTCCTGAAAGTGGCTGATCCTGGCCTGATAGCACAGATCTGTAGTACTGGGCAATGGATTTGCTTTGCTGTTAAGTAATAAAAAGATGATTAAAAGTAGTTAGTAGTTAGTGGAAAACACTTAGCAACTTAGAACAGTGTATCCAAAACTATTACTGAACACTCTACAGAAATAATCAGATATATACTTTCCTGGGCTGGTTGGTTTATTTATTGTGGTTTGGTTTAGTTTTGTGTTGTTTTTGGGGTTTTTTCAACAGAACATAAGAGCTGTATGAGAAGTAGGGGAGGCCTTAGTAAGTGCATTTGGGAGAAAAAACTCACTTAAGCAGGCTGCAGGATTTTTTTCTTTTCCATCTCCATCAAAACTTGTAGATTTGACAATATACAAGCTGATGTCTTCTCTTGACTCTACAGTGAACACGACACAGCAGCTGGTGGTACCCTAGGAGGAATCCTGATGGGAAGAACGATGGAGACTACTGCTTTGTTCACACTGATGTCCTCTAGTCTGGTTCTAAAAAGGACTGAGGAATTTTATTTTTGAGGGTGCAGCCTTCCCCGTGATTATGAAAATGTTCTAGCTGAGAAGTTTATCCTATGTTGCTCAGACCAAGAGGGGCAGGACCACAATACCTGCAAGTTATTCTTTTGAGTGTCACTTTGGTACTTCCATTAAAGGGGGGTGGTCAAGTACATGCATTAGTAAATGTTTTGGAAAAGAGGATGGTACGGTACAAGGACTAGGAGATGGAAAGGGTGCATTGAAAAAAAACCCTTCCTGCAAAAGAAAGATTTCTATTTTGTGTTACAGGATTGCTATTAAAGAGTGATATGTAAAAGAAAGCATCTTAAAAGCGGTACAGCTTCAAAAGCATGTCCTAACTATGGAGCAAGGAGGTCAGAGAGGGTGGGGAAAGAGTCTGAATAGCAGATACTGATGCAGGTCACACTCTCAGTGGAGCCAGCCTTGCCTGAAGCTCGGGGCTGCATCCCTGCACCACCGCGGGGACACAGAAAGTGAGGGCCAGCCCATGGCACTGTGGCTCCTTTGCCTTCAAGCAGGCCCTGCTTTGATACCCCAGCAAGCAGGGGGAAACACCAGAACCACAGGCAGAAACAGGGGAAGAGGAAGGGGCCATGGGAGCCCTAGGAGTAAAACTGCCTGGAGGGGCAGATAGCAGTACCCCAGCCTGCCTGGCAGCAAGCACTCTGCTTTGGAGGACACTGGCCAGCTGGTTTTGGAGCATTCTTAACAGACTAATGCTCACCTTACTGTACACTTTTGTTCATTGACTGAGAATTAATAATGTTAACATACTTGTAATTTCTGTTATATTTGTGTTAAGTATTAATGCTGTGGTTATTATTAGACTAAGCCTGTTGTGACTTAATCACTGCTACTGTTTCCATGTTGATTACTTAAAAAATAATAAAATAGTCACATTTTTGGTCATTCTTTATTGAAAATACAGAACTGCCTGTCACATGATACAGCTTTAGGTGGGTGTTACACCAGCTTGCTCACTGACAGAGAAAGCACCAAAGGCACCAAGGAGAGCAGAGAAGACCCAACTGAGAATGCAGAACTGAACACAAGCTGCTACTTTCTTTGACATCTCCAAGCCTGAGTTCCTCTTGCCAAACTAGGCACATTTCTCTTCCATCTCTGCTGTTGTCCAGTGAAGTTGGTACAGGCAGTATGAGCAAAAGACATAAACTGAAGGATATGAATTGCCCAAAAATGTACTGATTTTCCCCAGGTGTAATATCTATCCATAACCTTCCAGCATCCTTTATTTTAAGTTCTTAAAATAGCTGGAGTCTTTTTGTACTTATTTCCATGGAGACCCAGCTGTCAAAAATGCTTGAAGTTTCCAGCTACAGGATGTTATGTTGCAGAACACAGTAAGTTTTAAACCCCCCATTTCCTGCCTGCACCTGTTGCACCTAACACCAGTTTCCTTGTCCTCTCAGTGTACAACCACCACAGGGCACCTTTAAGCCTTTTCCTAAGATGTTGTGGGCGACACATTTTCTTCCTGATAAAGGTATAGTCTTAGGGAAAATGCCTCAAGGAAGAGGAAAAACAGAAGGAAAACCAAATTAAGGCGAGTTACTCCAAAATAGCAAGGGGATAATTCTGATGTTAAAAATAACGTTGCTTAAGCCTGTAATCTACTGGGACCAAGCACCCTTTTTCTGCACAGCTTAAAACTAACCATTTAGTCACTATCCTCTCACTTGTTTTTAAAATGAAAGGTTTGCTAAAATTTTACGATGTTTTCTGTTGTCCTTGTGATAATACAATAATAGCCCATGTAATTGAAGGGACGTATTGTCCAGAAATTAATTGATTCACCCCCAGACTAAGCTCCTTATTTTTATAACATTGCAAAGGCTCAGATATTTATGTGGGAATAAACTGTGGGTGTCAGTACTAACTGACCAAGGTGATGCAGGACAGTTCCCAGAGACGTTCTAACCAGTATCAGTAGATGGACTGGAAATAGATAATACCCAGATATTTCACTTTTATTTCCATAGTCTCTTTTCCTGAGAGAAATCAACACTTTTCTCAGTGGGACATTTGCCAACCAGACTCTGTCCCTGCTGTCATTTGTGATGTTCCTTGCTGATAACACAGATCAAAGGTGCAGCCAGTGGGCTGGGCTTGGGGAAGTGACGGGTGCTGCAAAGGCTCTCATCATCAGCTACATCAGCTGCATCTGTGTGGTGCTCATGTTGTTGAGGCTGAAGTATTTCCTGACTGGGTCAATGGCTTTTTCTGTTCTCTCTGCCCAGCTGGCACCGTCTCACATGCTGGTCACACCTGCCACCAAAGGGCTGCTGCAGTCCCCAGGGCATTCCTGAAAGGCCTACGGAAGGATTTGTTATGCAAGTGCTACAAAATAATCCGAATACTCCTTTCAGTGTAGGAAAGGTGTTAGCTGCAGAGGTACGAGATGTTCTTTCTAAATATATATGTAAGCAAACATCAAGTTATTACTCACATGAATATGAAAAAGATCCTCCTAACTCTACAGTGTGTGCATGGTGTTGTTTCAAATGACGCTCCTAATAAGAAGTATTTTAAGATTGCACTTATGTTAAACTACTGAAGTTTCTCAGAAATTCTTTCAGAGTTGAATCCCAGGTTGACAGAAGAGCAAGATTTCTTTTTGCCTACTGTAATTTGCTATATTTTTTCTACATTATCTTATTATGCATCATTACAAAGCATTATCTTGTTATGCATCACCAAATTTCCCTGAACTTCTAAGTTCATTACCATTATTTGGTTTCATTAATTTTATTTGCAGATAATCTTTGCTCTAGCTCCCAAGTCAGCTAAACTAAAGGATACTTCAGTGTACCCTTGTAGATCAAAACTAACTGACATTCTTCTGTAGATCTCAGAAAACTGTGATCAGAACTGTTTTACAAACCCCAGTATTGCAGAAGCCATCACAAAAACCAGACACGGGTCTGCTGAATGTGATGCTTGGGCTGGAAAATCTCCAGAGGCCCATCCAGATTCAGCTATTCCATGCTTTTGTGGTTCTATTTAACTGAGACCATTCTGTACCAGGGATGGTAATCTGCTACCCATTACAGTTATTATTAACACTTTACTGCATTTTTTCCCAAGGTCTGGTCTAGATTACACAAGAAAACAAATTAGTCTCTCTTATCATGAAGTATTAGATTATATCATAACTAATAAAGATGGTACAGAACAGGGTAGTACATGTTGGGCTTGAGAGAGAATGCATGGATGGAAATGGATGAAGGTGTCCAGCAACATGCAGAAAGGTTACAGAAAAGCAACTAGCAAAGACTTTGTGGAAGGAGAGGGAACCCAGCGGAAGGGAGGTGGGTAAAAGCTCTCTCTCATAGAAACAGGTCAGACAAGGGAAGAAAGTAAAGGCAGCAGAGACTGGAAAATATAAAGAGACCTTTGCAACAGAAAGGATGGAGAGTTAGCACAGAATTTATGTCTGCTCCATACTTCACAGTAATTTGCATCTTCACATTATGATTTGAAGTACAAAGAAAATGACCAAGGGTGGGACATGTTCCCTCTTTTCAAAGGTAAGATCCAAAACAAAGCTGAATTTGAAAATGGTGTTTTGAGAGTAACTTTGGGAAGAATACTGATGATCAATATCTTCCTGGAAAATTAGCATTTCTGGTTCCCAGTCAGGAAGCAGTGAAGGAAGTAAGTGAATCTGAGCACCAAGCTTCAGGGAAACATCCCATCAGAACCTGCTCCACTCACCTTACAGCAGCGATTTGTTCTGTCACCTGAGTGTCATTTACAACACAGCCAGCTCAGACTCAGAACTGGGCTGCAGGGGTCCCTGATAGGACCCTGCAATCCATTCACACACCAGCAAAGAGTAAACTACAAAATCCTTCACCATGTTTTCAAGTGGCCTTATAATCCTCCAGCAGCAGAGATTCTCATCTGCCTCAAGCAGCCTGTTTTGAGCTTCACCAGCTTTTACCAGCCCTTCCTCATCTCTAGCAGCCATTTTTGAGGTTAACTTTAGGCCCTTTCAGTGTAATCCTGTCCCACATAAACACACAGATCAGGGTGGTATTGTCTTATTTTTCCAACATTCATATTTACATAGTGCTGTCATGTTTCCCATATGTCTTCTCCTTGTTAGGGTAAACAATTCCAACTGTCCAAGTCTTCCTTCTGGATCAAATCTCCTATATACATTTGTCATTCCTGCTGGGATACTTTGACATTCTCAGTTCTTCCTGAAATGTGCTAGCTAAAGCTGGTCATGTCTCCACACCAGAAGCCCCCCTTTTCCCTCTACGGATGTGGAGTGCAATATTCGTTGGAGGCACAGTTTTTGCTTCACTGCAGAAGGCGCTTCCTGACAAGCAGAGTAATTTGTTGGTAGTCTGAAATTTTTACTCCTGAATTAGTGTTGAACGAATTGCCAGGTTTTGATGCTGCTGGTGGCAGAAAGGTGCTTCAAGTGAAGAAGCCACTTTTAGCCAGAACAAGCTGTTTTGTCACGTGTTCTTACAGTTCTTGTGGATATAAAAGGAGAGCAGGATGACAGATGATGACATGGAGCAGGCATGTGCTATTGGACAGATTTCCAGAAACCTCAGATATATTTTAGAATATTGTATTAGAATGGGAAAAGCATTGTTGACAGGTACTAAAGAAAAGGAAAAGAATATCAGGATGTCCTGCCCACTACAAAAATCAAAAATTACAGAAAGGTAGACATCTGTAATGTAGTGTGATTTTTATAAATTCAAACATATACAGATGACAATTTATTTAAATCATTCCCTTGGAACATTCTAGCAGCTGCTGTAAACAGTAAAACATACAATGTTTGATGTAATTCATTTATCGAATGCTTGAGGACACACTTTTTTTTTTTTCCCCCATGTCTTTACTACTCACACTGATTCTTTTTCCTGCCTTGCTGAAAGAAATAGGGGACAATTATTTTCCCTCCCAGTTTTAGTGAGAAAAACCTGCACTCAAAAATGAGATGAAGAATTTTTTTTTGGAGGGGCTAAAAAAAAAAGCAGGGGATTGGCAGTTCAAATTCAGTGACAAACTTTGGGGCTGATTATATATTAAAACCTCAGAAGCAAAGTTATTGAATCTTGTAATTTTGTATCTTTGCCTTTCCCTTTTCCTCATGCTTTGGTTGCTTTCCTCTTTCTCTGCAAAGGATAAAGATGTAGAGAAGAAGATCTGACAGGATGAATTTCTCTCAGCACTGCCCTTTAGGAGTTCAGTAACTTTAGCTGTAGAATTAGGACTTTACCTTACAGTTGTTATAACTGACCCAGACCCTGAATAGCAAAGAGTTACAAAAGTTTTCTTGAAAACAATAAAAAAATTTGCAAAACAAAAGGGACAGTGCTGGGAATGCAGCCAAATGCCAGAGGCTCACGCACAGAATGGTGGCTCCAGTCTTTTATACCCCTGGTGTTGCATCAGCTTTATGCATATTTATTTTGATTTTACACAGTCCTGCTCCATGTCACTCTTTCTGGCACTGACGTAGTTTCATCACTGTGGTCATCAGGGTTATCAGTAGATGAAGTTCTACTCCTTTTAAGGTCATTTCTCAAAGGTTTGGCTAGCAACAATCTGTCCAACGTAAATTCATAAACCTACATTACAACATACAAAACCATCCTCACAACTAGGTCATTGTAACAACATCAACCACTTTATAACACATATAATTAATATTACCAACATTATAATATCTAATATCAATTCATATAATACCCTGTGAAAGCCAAGTCCCATTAACTTGTTTCTCACACAGTTACAGGTAATTTCAAGTTTTTAAACAACTAATTTGATTTGGTGATGTATAAGTAGAATGAAATAGGCTGTGTGCTTACACTTGGCTAAATCAGCTTTACAGAGAATGCACATAACCTCCTGCATTG